TTATTTTTTAATAGACTACGCCTTTGTTGTCATATTTAGAACTCTTTCCCTAACTTAAGGTTACAAGCTTTTTTCTATGCCTCCTAGAAGTTTTGAAGTTTTAGTTCTGTAATTCCCTCTATGGTCCATTTTAAGTTATTTTTTTGTATGTTGTGAAAGATTGACAATTGTCTATTTTTGCATGTGATTTTTGACCTGTCCCAGCATCATTTGTTGAAATTCAAATGACCATGAATGTGAGAGTTTATTCTGGGCTCTATCCAATTTCATTATCTGTATGTCTATCTTTATGCCAATATCACACTGTGTTGGTTTTTATAGCTTTATAGTAAGGTTTGAAGTTAGGTAATGTAAGTCCTAAAGCTTTAATCTTCTTTTTCAGAATTGTTTTGGATATTCTAAATCCTTATTTAGATTTTACATATGTCTATATATGATATATAAGATATTTTATATATATATATATATATGTGGGCATGTATATAAATATATCTTTCATATATATCTTAGAGTCAATTTCATGTGTCTCTTAGAATCAGTTTCTATCAAAAAAAAGCTATGGTGGTATTTTGATGATGATCAGTATGGGGAGACTTGCCATCTTTTTTTTTTTTTTTTTTTTGCTAAGAATGTTTTAATTTTTTTTAATTTTAATTCCAGAATAGTTAACATACATGTTATATTAGTTTCAAGTGAACAATGTAGTGATTCAACAATTCCATACATCACCCCATGTTCATCACGACAAATGCACTTCTTAATCCACATTCCCCCTGCTCTGGCAACCATCAGTTTGTTCACTGTAGTTAAGAGTCTTTTCTTAGCTTGTTCGACTCTCTCTCTCTTTCTTTTTTCTTACTTGTTTGTTTGTTTCTTAAATTCCACATAGGAGTGAAATCGTATGGTATCTGTCTTTCTCTGACTTATTTCACTTAACATTATACTCTCTAGCTCATCCATATGTTTTCAGATGGCAAGATTTCATTCTTTTTTATGACTGAATAATATTCCATTATATGGATTCCATTATATTTTATATGTAGATATATAGATTTATATATTGCAGCCTTTCTAAACTTTCTTAGTAGCTTTTTTGTAGACTTCCTAGAATTATCTCATAGAAGATAACGTTGCCTGCAAAGAGTTTTAATGTTTTTTCTTTTTTTTTCCCCAATTTATGTGTCTTTCTCTTCCTGGTCTTAACTGCAGTGAGTAAACTTTCTGGTCCAATGGTGAATAGTGGTGTCTAGAGCAGGCCTCTTGCCTTTTTACCAGGATTATAGGGCAGTAGGACAGAGCATTCAGTCTCTCACCATGAAGTATGGTGTTAGTTGTAGATGTTTGTCTCAGAAAGGAAGTGTTGTTTTCACTCTGAAACAATCAATTATGTAATATATCTTATTAATAGAATAAAAGGACAAGAGCCTCTTAAGTACCTCAGTAGATGTAGATAAAAGAAAATCAGGGAAACAGAAAACAAAATAAAGAGCTTAAACAAAATAAGAGGTAAAGGGGAAGCTACTTTATGTAAAGTGATGTGGACAAGCTTCTCTGAGGAAATGACATTAAAACTGATTTTCTAGACAACCTGAAGGTCCTGATCAGGCAAAGAGAACATACATGAAGGGTAGTTCAGCATCTAGCATTGTTCTTGTCTTATTCACTTTATAATTCCGACACCAAGCATAGTGCCTAGCCCCTTACAATTTGTTCAGCTTAACAGATAGTTGAGTGTCTTGCTCTCTTAGCCTCACATTCATTTTGCCGTATCTGTCATTAAATGTTATTTGAAATTATGTATTTTGATGATCACATAATATTCTATGGAAATACTATATTTCTATAATTATAACAATTACTTAAATGCTTTCTTATTCATAGAAATGCTTCCTATCTTCATGATCCCAAACATCTGGGAAATACAGTTCCACTGGCTTGTATTTAAGACTGATTTACTCATTCATTAATATAAAACAGTCTTAAGATATTAATCTATGAGAATAGTTTCTTTAATATTACCTTTTGCCGACTTTTATTTAAATATTCTTTTAATTTATCTTTCATGTGATCGTGTTGGCTCGAAAGGGTTAAATAGTGCTTTAATGGAAACAAGCCATTAAACTGTTGTAGAATGTGGCAAAATATCAGACACAACTTTTGGGCTCTGGATATTTTTCTCTTTACATGGAAAGTATAGACTCGTGAACTTCATATACCATTGCCAAGTGTTTTGTACTGCCTGCACTGAGACCACTGTAGGTGGGTTATGCTAGAGAAAAGTCAGATGTCTCTTCCAGAGAACTGCCAAGGCCCCATTTTTGTTGCAAGTAAAATATACCAGAGTTTGAATTCCACTTTAAGCTTTTACTGGTATTTTGATTTGGGGCCATTTAAACTCAGGTTCCTCATCTATAAAGTGGGGTTGATGATAGTCACCTCATTAGGTCATTTTAAAGATTATGTATGTAACCTGATACACACTAGACACACTAGCGTGTCTGATCCACACTAAGCACCCAGAAAACAAGGCTACCATTATTTACCTTTTAAGTCTCTGGTAGTCGTGGGCGTGTTGGTAGGAATGCTAGCTACAAGGGTTCCTAATGCTTCAAGGCCTCATTAGCAGATGCTGACCAGCTTGTTAATGTTGTGCCTCTGAAGATGGTTACTGATATTTTTGTGAGGAATTGATCATTTTCTTCACTGAGTATACTGGAGTCATCTGGAGACTGTTTCTTGTCTGCATGTGTCCCAAAAAAGATTTGGCCCCAAAAGTGGTATTTTAAAATACCATTAAGTTAGATCTTTTGACCTCTTATAAGTCAATGTTTGTAGCATTCATAAATTTATGTATATAGTTATGGTTACTTTCTTGTACCCACTTTAAAATAAAAGGTAATATATTTTCTTTATTTTTCAAGAAGGAAAGAATTACAACTGAAAATTAAACGATTAAATTCTACTTGAATTTCAGAGCTTTAGTAGGTAATGTTGACAAGGGGCAAGGTGGGGTTGCCAGGGTATAGCTTCTGAGGTTGGGCCCTGGGGATTTAGGAAATCCCTAAGGCCGCCAGCAGATGCTAATAGGAATGCTAATATGATTGCAAATACGGTTATTTTTAAATTCACATATAAATCACTGCCTTCTAGTTATAAATAATCAGAAGTGATTGTTCCCTGTTTCTCTTAGAATTCCTATCAGAATTTATAGTCAAGGCTCAATTTAAATCCAAGATTTGTAATTTGGGGACACAACACTTGATTGGCCTTGCTCAGTTGTCTGTTTCCCCTCTGTAAAATGGGATCATGCCTTCTCTGCTTGTTTCACTGAGTTACGAAGATCAAATGAGGTCATGCCCATGAAAGCGCTTTGTAAAGCACGTAGCTTACTAATTATTACTCCAGTTTATCCTGTCAGACCTGCCCTTTTCTCACGACTGTTTGGTAGGTCACTGGTGGAAGTGACATGATAGCTCAGAGCTCTGTAATGGGCACCAGCTCTGAGGAGTCTTTTACTCGTATAGGGAGTGGACAGTTGTAGACTGTTGGTATTTTTATCCTTTAATTCATTTTATTTTACCAAAGTAATGTGTGTTTATTATAAAGAAAAAAGAAACTAGGGACTATAAATCAGCAAAAAGGAAAAATAAAAATTACCTCTAAATGCAGAAATAATTGCTACATTTATTTTCATATATGTTGGAAACAAATTCAGCTATACTGAACATAGTGCTCTGTTTCCTATTTTTATCACTCGGTGTATGTTATATGGAATGATAGCCTATAATTTTTTATATAATATATTAGTGGCTATATAGTATCCTACCATGTAATATGCCAGAATTTATTAAACCTGTCCCAAATTTGTTATTTTACATTTAATGGCTGTTTTCAATTTTTTTTTACTATTAGAAATAATGTATATTGTCACATCCTTATGGCTGAATACTTGTATATGTCCTCATTTTTTTTTTTCTCATTATGATAAATCCTAGTCTTGGAATTGCTACACCAAGGGGCATACAACATTTGAAGAAATTTAATATTTTGTAGCTTTATTAAGTCGTAATTGACATCTAATAAACTGCACATGTTTAAGGTTTACAGCTTGATCAATTTTGAATGTGTGTACACCCATGTCCAACACAGTTAAGGTAATGTCCTTTTGTAATCCTTCCTTCCTGCACCATCCCACCCCTTGGTCCCCAGATAACCACTGAAACATTTTCTTTCCCTGTGGATTACTTTGCATTTTCTACAGTTTTATGCAAATGGAATTACAAACTGTGTATTCCTTTTTGTCTGGCTTCTTGCACTCAGCATAATTATTTTGAAACTCATCCGTGCTGTTGTTTATATTATTCGTGCATCCTTTTTTGTTGCTGAGTAGTAAATATCCCATTGTATGGGTATACCATAATTCATTTACCTACTGAAAGGCATTTGAGTTGTTCCCAGTTTTTGACTTTTTAAAATAAAGCTGCTTTGGAGATTGGTGTGCAAGTCTGTCTCTGGACGTAAGGCATTTGATATTTATTACAAATTTTGTGCTAGAAGGTTACATAGGGAGTATTTTGTAACAGAAAAAGCTTAATATGAGTATCTATTTTTCCTTTTTCCTTTTTGGAAAAAGTTTTCTTTTTTCTTTCTTTCCTTTTTTTTTTTTTTTTTTAAATATACCTTTGGGAGGATTTAGAATTTTTAGATGTAACTTAATTGGAATAATTTGACAGAAATTTGAAATTAACAGAGGTTAACAAGCACATCCTAGCAACTGTAAACCTTATTCACAGTTGCCTTGAAACATCTACTTTGATCAAATGTATTGTCTAGAAAGCAAAAGTTACATAGTTTCCCTTAATGAATGATCCCTATTTCATAAAACTATATTTCTCTGTTAAATGACTACTTCTACATTGAACTTGAACAGAAAATATACTGGGAAAAGTTTACAGAGCTCCACAAAAAATATTCCAGAATCTGGTTTTCCTTTTCCTCAGGTGCACATTAGACCGGAGGAGGAACGGGGAATTTAAAGACTCCAGATGACACCAGAGCTCCTTTTCAACAGCCTTCTCCATTTCCTTTCTCAGAAAGTAGAGACAGACCTCAGAGACAGATGGTGAGAATATTTTTCCTGACTTCTTAAGGCTTAATCATGGTGATTTTAATATATTTTGGAGAATCCTTTCTTAGTGATAAATTAGCTTGTAATCACCAGATTTATGTTTTGTGTTTTATCTGTGCAAATTATTTCATTAGGCACAATGTGGTTTAAAACAAAAAAGTCGATAGTGAATAAGATGCAATCCTAAGGAACTTACTGAGAAAGGATAAGTACAGATAAATTTAATCAAGTAGTAGAAAGAGCTTAAATGCCATAAGAAAGACAGAAAAAAATATTCTATAGAATTCAAAGGAGTAGATTACTTCTGGAGTGGGGGATTGGGAAGCTCGAAATTAGAAATAGTGTTTGTGTTGATGATAATTTGTTTTTACCAAAAAACAGAGAAAATGAACAGTTAATATAAAACCTGAAATAGCAATCTGATTTCAGGATAAAAAGTTAATTATTGTTTTGAGGAAAAATAGAAGCATGTTTGGTTATTGTGGGTTTATTATAGTCTAAGTCAATGATTACTTTTTGAATTAGGTAAAATGGTTACCTCTTATAAGGCAAATAGTATATTAGCATTTCTGAGAAGCGATAAAATGGTCTGATTAAATTAACACAAGTAAGTGGACAGTACAACAGAAAGAGATGGGTGAGTGGCTAATTCTATGTGGATTAACACTCCTGTTATCTAGTAGAGCTAGAACCTAAATGAATTTGTCCTGTCTTAAGCTCTTGGACTTTGTGCTGCTTACGCCTGGGCAGAGAAGCACTCCAAATAAACTAGGAAAGGACATAGTGATTAATTATTGTGCTCATCATTAGTTGTGACGAGTTCACTTTCAATTAGCTAGCTGAAAACTCTTATTAGAAGAAAACAGATCGGATATCCTGAACTTCATGGTGTTTTAATGGACCCTGATGTTTCTAAAGGAGAATGGCAACTTTGAATCAAATTTGTTCCTTATCTAAGGTGTCATATGGTTGGCACAGTGATAATACAAATTCCTCTTTCTCTACTATTCTGATTATATTCAGAAAACCTAGTAATTAAGTTATTTAATCATTCTACTTCTTTCTTTAATTCTGTTTATTCTTGTAGTTTAAGCAAGAAAATCTTTAAAACATTTATTTAATAAAAATTACAGTTACTAGTAATTATTTGGTTTCTCGTCATTTGTCACATACTCACATACTATTTTTTTCCCCTAAATCAAGATTTTATATCAGCCAGACCTTTATTTGTTAAATGCTAAGTTCTTTCATTCAGGTATAATTATGTGTTAATGACTGATAGTCTGAAATCTGTTTTTATATTTGATGAGCTAAGTTGTTACTGTACCCCAATTCCCAACTTTTAATTTCATTAAAATGAAAATTATAATCATGCATATTCTTGTGACCCTCAAGATACAATTAGTTTGTTGTTGTTCTTTATTTGTCAACGCTTTTGTTGTACCAAGTACCGACCACCACTTTGCCAGTTGGATAAATAAATCATAGATCGCCAGCTGAGAAATTTACTTAGCCAATAAGTTGTCCTTGAAAAATGGTCAGATTTAGATCTTTCTCCCAGATAGAAAAGACAGATTATTTAGAATGTACAATGAATAGTTTGGAAAGCATATACAAATGAGCTATTTGTGATAATCATTTATGTATATTTAAATTTTTTTCAAGATTTGAAAGTGAATATGTTAAGTATATGTTTTCTAAATTGTGTTTTGAATGAGACTCCATGGTCAAATAAATTTGGGAGAAGTTGTCATTATATAAAATATCTTTTCAGTAGGCATTCCATCAACCAGCCATTGAATTCTCAGTTTCCAAAAGGAGGGCCTTATTTAGACTAGTATTTGATAGAAAAACATTTGAAGACTCTGAATTAATATATTCCATGAGGTTTTACTATGGTTTGTCTGTCATACAGCTACACTCCAAGAACGGGTACGGTCACCTTTTTTTTTTTTTTTTTTTTTTTTTTTAAGGAAGAGAGAGAAGGTGGGGAGAGAAGGGAAAGGGGGAGAGAGAGAATCTCAAGCAGATTCCACACCGAGCTCAGGAGCCTTATACGGGGCTCAGTCTCACGACCCCAAGATCATAACCTGAGCCAAAATCAAGAGTTGGATGCTTAACCTGCTGAGCCACCCAGGCGCCCCAGTACATCATGTTTTTTAAGTAGAGTGATGTCCTGAATGAGAGGCCAAGGAGGGTGATTAGGAAAAAAGGAGAAGAATTTGATTAAATGAATATTGCAAACCATATAAAGCATGAAGTGTTTTTAAAGCTTCTCAGTGCCTTAAGTGAGATCTCCTTTGCTCCCTTGTCAGCTCCTTCTTTTGAACAAAAAAAGTAGTCATCCCACATAACTAATAAAATAAAATCACCTTTTTTTTTTTGTTTTTTAGAACTCCATATACTTTCTGTGCTCTGTTTATTTCAGAGTGCAGCATTTGTTAGCTGATTTTGGCAAATACTGATAATATAAAAAGAGTGACTGTCTCCAGTAGAATTAGATAATTGGCCATAAATCAATTTAGCTTAAGTACTTGAATATACTCATTTTCTCATTAAGTGGAGTTTTTATTGCTCTATCTCATGAGTTCTCACTGGGAAGAGTTCTTTAATGTATGTTTTTTTTCCCAGTTCGATTACATTGGTGATAGCTATTTCAATGCACATAACTATTTCAAAACAGTTTTAAGTGCTAGAACTTTTCTATCAGTTATAGAAGTATCTGTATGAAAAGACAATGGCCAGTAACTTAGTTGGTTCTAACAGAATAGGTCACCAGGCTGGTAAAGTGAGACTAATCATTTCCATGAAATGCCTTCTCCAACCTTTATATAACATTTCTTAAAGTCATGTTTTTAATTTAAGAAATAACACTTTGAGAGGCACCTGGGTGGCTCAGTCAATTAAGCATCTGGCTCTTGATCTTAGCTCAGGTCTTCATCTCAGGGTCATGAGTTCAAGCATCCCCCTCCACACCCAGCATGGAGCGTACTGAAGAAAACAAAAAACAGTGGCGCCTGGGTGGCTCAATGGGTTGAAGCCTCTGCCTTCCGCTCACTCAGGTCTTGATCCCCAGGCTCTTGGGATGGAGCCCCACCCCGGGCTCTCTGCTCAGCAGGGAGCCTGCTTCCCCCTCTCTCTCTGCCTACTTGTGATCTCTTCTGTCACATAAATAATAAAATCTTTAAAAAAAAAAAAAAGCAAAAAAGAAAGAAAGAAAGAAAGAAAGAAAAAAAGAAAGAAAGAAAGGAAGAAAAGAAAAGAAAGAACACTTTGAGAAAGTGTTTATGCAAGGTAATCAGTGGAGAACGTGCTACTGGTGAAACCAAGATCAGTCCAGAATCTAGGTGAGTTATTTTAGTTGGAATTAATTCCCATAAACTAACTTGTCTTTCTCAGCTGATGTTTCCCTGGCTTTGTGGACAACCTGGGCAAGAAAATTTGGGTGATGGGCTCAAATGAAGTATTGATTTCCAGCATTGCTTCTACCTACTCTTTAATTTCCTTTCCCACAGCCAGCATCTAGTCTCAGAGTGCATACCTCATCTGGAATGCTTGTGCTGGAAGCCTGCTTACTTACACCTTTGTCTCCACAACTACCACATTTTCCTAAAACTTCCAATTTGCTTCTGTTACTTCTCTGATAAAATAATTCAGTGATCCCAATAATATAATGACCATAGGAAAGTGACAGGCCTTCCTTAATCCTAATTCACTGTTACAATGGGAACTGTTAATATAATTAATATTTTGCTGAACTTGATGTCATTAAAGAATTGGCCTTTTTGAAGTTTTTTACTTAGTATCTTAATTGATACAACCAACATCATTTTGAGAGGAAAATTTCCCACTACACCAAGCCTCCATGTCAACTCAGGTTTTTTTCTCTCCCATGAAAATTTTCAAGTGAAATAATTAAAATAATTTTAAAATGTCTTGGTAAGAGTGTCCATTCACTTTCTCTTCTTATTCACACTCTGGTTTTTCTCACTTAAAATAATTGTAGTGAACCTGATACTCTCCTTGATTCTCTGCCCTCCAACCACACGGCCTGAGGTTTGCACTTTGAAGTTAGTGTGATGCTAACAGTACAGCTTATGCATGTTATTTAGATAACCAGAATTTCCTCATTCTAGATCAGAGATATACTAGATATACTAATTTTCAAACCCCATTTATTTATTTATTTATTTAGTTAGTTAGTTATTTGCATTTACTTATAGAAAGATTATTAATAGAGCACCTGTGTGGTTCAGCCGATTGAGTGTCTGACTCTTCTTGATTTCAGCTCAGGTCATGATCTCAGGGTTGTGAGATTGAGCCCCAGGACAGGCTCCCACACTGGGCATGGAGCTTTGCCCAACGTTCTCTCCTACCTTCTCCCTCTCCTCCCCCTCTCCCTTCCCTGCCCTATATGAGCATGTCCTCTCTTTTTCTAAGCAAAATAGATTATGAAATTTTTATCTCCGGTTGTCCTTCCTTCATCCCGCCATCCTGCACCTTGTTCTCTAAGGTTCTCAAAATACCTATGGTAAAGGACCAGTTTTTGTTTACACTTCCATTTTTTTTTTAACAAATTAATTTTATCGTATTTTTTTAAAAGCCACTATCTAGGACAGATTGGAAATGAAGAAAAAAGACCTACAAATTTACAAGTCCAAATTTTTCATCATTGACTTCAACTGATATCAAATTACATTATCGAATTCTAGAAAGTGTCTTCATTACTCTCAATTTCTGTGCTTTGAACAGAGGTCCGTTATCTGTTCAAAGATATCTATTTTATCCGTTATCTATTTTAAAGTCTCTAAAACATCTGTGTGCTGTTCCTCTTCCCGCTGGGACTGACGCACCTCCCCCTGCTTGAAGAGTGCTCTTTAACTTCTGTTCCATTTGGCAAAGCTTGATTTTTGCTAGTCAGTTCATGCTACCTCCGTGGCAGAGTGCCTTCACTAACAAACGTGTTCCCTGCCTGTCTTCCTCCCAAGAATTTG